TAATTCTTCGCTTTGAAAACGTATTCAATTAGAATGTCACACGCACAAAATAAACCAAAATACTTCTAAAGTAACGGTTATTACTTTCAGATGATTTTTTTTAAGCTTAAGCGATTAGTGGAGGTGGTGGTTTATCTCGTAGGTATGTGTAATTAAATACAGGAAGCGCATCTGTGCCCTCTGTTCTGTTTCATTTCTGAGCTTGCTGGGCTCTTATTCACTTCTTGTCAATAAAAACGCGACGGAAGGAACCAGTTCGTGAAAGGTAGAACTGCTTTACCCTTAATTTATATTGCACTTTAATTTGTTTTATGTGTATTAAAAAGGTTCTTTCATTAGTAGTTAAATTACTCAAAAGGTATTTAGACAATTCGCCGAATACTTTATTGGCTCTATATCACATTAATAACGAAACTACACTCCCATGTAATCCGATGGAAGATAACCGATTTCTTGTAGGTCAGTACGTGCAAGCATAAAAGAAAAACGCATGCGTTTATTACGTCCACACGTAGTATGGTCACTACTCAGGATCACTAGCAACGTTTCCGCTCAACACTCTGAACAATATCTGAAGTAGTTTTCAGCGTTGTCGAACGGACCTCGCCGTAAAACACATGAAGCGTCTCCAAACATAAAATACATAAAAAAAAAACTTACTATGAAATCAATTTTTGTCACATGGGGGTATTGGACTTGATCGCGTACCTTACAGAAAACAAACACGTTTTTTTCATAAATATGATGTTGTAGTCCTTTTCAGAACACTTCGCAGCTCTTCCATCCCATCACGTACCTCTGGAAGCAAATTATTTACGTTTTAGGTCTAAGAGCTGCAACTGACCGCTGCGTTTCTATCATCATCTTTGAAGTCTTGTATCTCCTCTCCTAGCATTGCGCTGTCAAAATGAGGGGTTATAGGCCCAACATTTTCAAGGGAATCTCTCATTGACTGCACACGCATAACCAGACAACAGAAGTAAAATCTTGCTCAGCTCGTGCACCTGAAGCTGCCTAGTGCACGAGCGGAATTGATTTGTATGTATATTAGACAATATGGGATAACTGAAGGTTATAGGTTTATGGATACAATTTTTTACTGACATGGTACTCGGGGAGAGGGGGAAAAACGGGAGGGACAACGGAAAGCTGTGTGTTCTCCATCCCGTTTTTGCCTCGCTGTCGGGTTGTTATCTAAATATTAAACCGCTTGACTGCGAACTTACTTTAGCACTGTAATCGTAAGAATCGAGACTGTGTAACGAGTGTAACTGGTTCAACTGGTTTTTGGCATTATCAATTGTTTTACTTGATATGTAGAGCCCTGCGCGGATAACAGTTTGATCATCCGTATCCGATCTGCATTTGCAGAATTCGTATACGCATCCGAAACGTATCCCCAAAATTCGTAGCCTGATGCGACCCTAAATCCGCATTATTTTACATCAATAGCATCGAGCATAAGTAAAATCCTATAAGCCGCCTGCTTACATTTGGACAAGCAGCTTTTTTGTCAGAATACGGTGAAAGTCATTTTATTGTATCCTGCTTTATTGTGTTTACAAAATAAGCGATCATCATTCCAGAGACACTTCGTATCGCCGGAGAGATGATCTCAGTTATGAGATCGTCTTGAAAGTCTGTGATACTGACACTCTGTTCAGAAGATAAGCTCAAAACAAAGGAAATTGTTTTTAGAGCGCAGCTCTTAGGGGCCCGCTCCCGGCTTGAACGGCGTCGGCGTCGCCGTCGGCGTAACCAAGGTTATCCCAAGGTCACGTGGCCCCCAAGGTCATCCCAAGGTCACGTGACCCCCAAGGTCACCCCAAGGTCACGTGACACCCAAAGTCACGTGACCCCCCTGAAGTCACGTGACCCCATGAGGTCACGTGACCCCCCCCCCCCCGAGGTCACGTGACACCCCCAGGTCACGTGACCACCCCCAGGGTCACGTGACCCCCGCCGAGGTCACGTGACCTCCCCGATGACGTCACCGGCATCCGCATCGTCATCGTCATCAGTGATGATGACGATGACGATGCGGATGCCGGTGACGTCACTGATGACGTCATCAGTGATGATGACGATGACGATGCGGATGCCGGTGAGGTCATCAGTGACGTCACTGATGACATCAGTGATGATGACGATGACGATGCGGATGCCGGTGACGTCATCAGTGACGATGACGTCATCGGGGAGGTCACGTGATCTCGGCGGGGGTCACGTGACCTGAGGGTGTCACGTGACTTGGGGGGGCATCCGCATCGTCATCGTCATCATCACAGATGACGTCATCAGTGACGTCACTGATGACGTCACCGACATCCGCATCGTCATCGTCATCATCGCTGATGACGTCATCGGAGTCCGCATCGTCATCGTCACTGATGACGTCATCAGTGACGTCACTGATAACATCATCGGCATGGTCACGTGACTCCCCAAGGTCACGTGACCCCCCCCAGGTCACTTCACCCCCCAGTACCCTTCCCTCCTCCTCCTCAAGAGCTGCGCTCTAATTCGGTGTTACAGGGAGTTGTAAACGGCTTTCACTTTTTTTTTTTGCTTTGTTAAACCCACTTTAATGAACATAAATAGTATCAAGAACAAACTAATAACATTATGCCACTTTTTTTTTTTTGGCCAAACAATAAAACAATGGGGAAAAAAAGGCTTACCCTCACCACAGCAAAGTACTTTACGTGTGGTAAGGCGCGAGTAAACAACTAGGAAAATGTCACAATATTGAATAATGGCAACATCTCCTTTTGGTTTCAGTTTTAAACACTATCTCACAACTGCACGCTCGGCACCGTATACTTAAAAACAACTCAGTGCCAACTGTAGAGAAAAAGAAAACGCACACGGACGCAAGGTTTCGCTTGTCGGGGTTGCTGTGTAGAAGAAACAGAATACCGTGACCATGAACGAATGAAGACTAGGTCACCGATCTTAAATTAATTCCCGCTGATGAGAAGTTTCTCTCTATTAGTGCACCTGATTCTGGGGCGGCATGCGCGAACTTCGCTACAATAATGAGGTGCGGAATGTCGTGCTGGCGCAAGTTCCACCACTTCAAAGGATCGAATTCAGTCTTCTCGAACTCCTTCTAGGCGAAAACGTCACTTCCAGGCTTCTTCTACATTCTTATAACTTGTACCTCCTAGCTTTATTTTTTTATTTTTTTACCAAAGAACGTTTTTTGCTCTTTCTCTTCCAAACAATAACCTGCTTTCCCGAGACAGCTGATACTCCTACATTCTTTATTTTTTCCAGGGACTGCATTTTTTTTTTGTGAGATAGAACGTTTTAAAACAATCTCTGGTGAGAATCAAACCTTTTTTGACGTAAAGAACACTTTTCTCACTAATGGTCACCTTTTATCTAAGAGAGTAATTTGCTCCTGCCAAAGACTCAATGATGCACTTCGCAGTAGCAGTCTCTCTTCACTGTATACATTGTGCGGTCGCACACGTTTATGGGCCGCCTCGGCAAAAATGTAGATCCGGTACCGCGGATATCCGCATCCGATCTGGAATTCGCCAAATCTGATTTGTTTTTATTCGGATCCGCCAGTTCACTCCGGATATCTGCGGATGATCCGCAGATAATCCGTGGATATGCAGGGCTCTACTAATATGTCACTTATCGTGAGATGACCGATTTATTACCGATTGATATTTCCCCTAACGTGTTCAAGAGGTGGACAAAACCTTATCGAAATTGTCCGAGAACTTTTTTTATAGTAGCGCTCATTGCTTCCCATGTGACTCAGCATACTTCTTATCGTTATTCGTTTTAAAATGACATTAAAATAGCGCAAAAAAAGAACTCGCAGAATTTAGCATGGTGAAAGGATCCCCGAGACAAGCATAGTACAACTATGACGTCACATTCCAACTGGAGACAGACGACTACGGGGAACCTTTATTAGGCCTGCTTCGACGTCAAGAAGCGTCGGTGGCGCTGGTGTCGGCACGGCGCATGCGCAGACTCTTCACGCCATTATGGTTTCTGCGCACGCGCACTGCACACCCGTGGGGCTCTCATCTGGACACTTGGCGAAAACGTTGGCGAGAACGTTGGCCTTGATTGGACGCCGCCAAGGTCCAGCGCGGCGCCGGCTAATCACCGTTGCCGGATTTCTCGCCGACTCGTCCACCAAGTGTCCAGACTAGGGCCCCTAGTGTGGGAAACGCGTTTACGCAGCACGTTGGCGTACAGGACAGTTCGAGTACACTGCATCATCGTCAGCGGATTCACAACCCGTCCCATCGTGGCGAACAACCGCCGCTCGTCGAGAGTTTAGAGGACGAAGCGGCAGACATCGCTATCGTGGCATCGCCGCACGGCAGCTTCTGCACATTCGCTTGAAGTGCGCCTATGTGGCATAGATGCGAATGCGAGGCAGAGGCTGTTTCTTTGAAATTTAGTAACCCTATGGCAACCGACTCTTCCAAAATGCGCTTTTGGAAAAGTTGATTGCAAAATGGCGAACGCCCAGTTAAGGGCAACATGGCGAATGCCCAGGGAACGAGCGATGACGGGGAAGCGAGACGCTCCCAGCTCCCAGATTCGCTTAGGCTCTAACGGGTGAGCGAATCGGGATCCAGATAAAGCTAGGTATCGCGTGAATCACTGAGGAATTTTTAGCTTCCCTTCTTTCTTCCCCTGCGCCCTCTAAACCAGGGGATGTGATGCCCCCTAAATCAGAGGAAATCAGAGCTCAGGGGAGCCGAGCTAAGAAATGATTAGAGTAAAAAAACAAAACAAAAAAACCTTGAGATTTTTTAGACTGTGTTATGTTAGCCCATTTTTTGTCCCTAGTCTCAAGGGTTTCTTTCTTGTTTTTTTCTATTAAACTTAGAAAGCTGGAATTGGCCCCGCTCTCTAATTGTACGAATGCTTTTAACACGCCCTCTGGAACTATTGCTAATGGCGGCGGTCACGCCAGCGCTGACAACAGGACAGCACACAGTGTATAGAAGCTGTCTGACCTGTCCGAAGGCCGGCAGGAACCTGTCCATGGTCCTCGAGGACACGATGACGCAGTCCGGCTGGTATTCCAAGCCCTGGTCGGCCCTTCCGCGGCCGCTACCACCCCTGTGGGACAGCGGGTGGTGGCCGCCGTCGAGGTCCTCGTCGTCCAATTCGTCCTCGGGGTCCCCGCCGAGCAGCGACCGCTGCGACCCGGGCGCTGGGCCCGAGGCCGCGACGGGCGACCGCCGGATGGACGGCTGGCGCCGCTGCCAGTCGCCCAGGGCGGTCTCCGAACTGCGGCTGCCGCATCTGCGGCCAGGGGACGTTAAGTCAGTGCCGGACAGATAACGAGGCTTGAGCTACACTGAAGCCACCAAGAAAGATAGCTTAGAGTGCCAACGCTCCATTTCCCGATTGAATTGTAGGCACCATGCAATATGTTGTTGTCTAGTGCAAGGGGAGCACAACGTGCGATATTTACGACACAGATTCATGAACAGGAGGTCAATGCGCAAACAAGCTCATGGAGAATAGATTACCAGACATCTCTTGGTAATAATCAATACATTAAAATTATACTTAGCATTCTAAAAGTATGCTTTTAGCAGGCCAGTCACTGAAAGTATATATTAAAAAAGCACTTTAATCCGCAAAAAGGTTTTTTTTTTTTTTGCCATGAGTCATGTTTGTTGTAGAGCCATGTATAGTTTAATAAAGCCGAAAAAACTCAACTGCTCGAAACCGAAACCGAAACCTGAGCACGGACGCTCATGGCCATGACATGTGGATCCACACCACCGTCACTTTAAGGCCTCTCCGCTCTTCCAATGACGTCACGCTCTGGGTCCGGCCACCTGACATCTCTATTTTTCAGTCGCTCGGCAATGGCGGCGGAGACAATGGCGTAGTGCGTTTCGTCAAATTTGTTTTTCAGTTGAAGTGATTTCTGAACAATCCAGGGATGTTCCGTACGTCACAATGTGTTTTGTGACGTTTACTGTGATGTAGGAGAAACGTGCATGAAACGTGGGCCCTTGTATACCGTACATGCTCGAGTAATAGCCGCACTATTTATGAACAAGGCCCTTGCGTCTACTTCCCCGCAAAACACGTATATGGTCAATCATTGCTTTGCGCATAAATAACATAGCGAATAACCAGATTGAGAACACGATTCTCCATAAAAATGCAATCTTCACAGGTGGTGTCTTCGGGCGAACACGTTATCTATTTCCTGTAAACTGCTCGAATCATGCTGTCGATCGCGGTGATTGGCAATCCGCGTGCTCCGCGGAAAAGAGAACCCTCACGTTTCCTTCATAAACAGTGCGCCTATTGCTCGATTAATACGATACCTGTACGGAAAGGAATTTTAGATCAAAATAAAAGTAAGAAACGGTTCCGATTCTCATTTTTTTTGACAACTAGGCTACTGTTCAGTTCTATGTAATTTTATGTGACGGTATTTCTACGTGCTTTTTACGAAAGACTAAAGCTTAACTGATTTAAGTCTAGTGTTAGATTCCTGCTGAGAACCAGAGCTGACGAACGGCAACGAACCGCCACGAAACACGCAACAATATGGATGTTCTAAGATCTGAGTACATATTAAATACGTTAAACCTTCGACGATCCGCGTATTCGATGTATTTGACAACGGACGAACAGCGCGGGCGAACATACTAGATCTTGTCTGGCGGCTCGTCTCGGCCTCGTCGAGACGAGTCGAGATGAACGGAAAAGTGTGACACATCGGTTGACGTCAAGCGATGTGGAGAGGAGGTATTGTAGAGGCCTTAGTCATTCTAGGTGTCTAGGTGTTTGGACGATGTGTAGCGAGGAGGAAGAGGAAATGTCGAGGAGGACAGAGTTGCCGAAACTCACGTAGCTCCACCGGGTCGCGTTTCTTTGTTTTTTTTCCCCTCTTTTTCGGCGTGTCAAGCAGACGAGAACGACGACGATGTTACTTGCACCATTTGTAGCGCGATTGTTTCACCCTTACATTCCTTCCGTTCGATGTTCCGCGCTTGAAGATAGATTCGCCGGTGCCGTGCACGAACGACAGCTCCGAAGTAGCGGCCCCACGTCCGTCGCAACGTTGCTACGTTGAGTGCCGCCATCGCGTCGTCCAGCCCGCTGTACGTCGCCATATTGAGTGTGACGTAGTAAATGTACTTCCCGTGATCTGTGCAACTTTTTTTTATCAACGTGTTCGCAGCTTTTTTGAGGCCACATTCATATTATATACTATTTATGATATTGAAGGTGCGTCGTGATGACCGACGACTTTGAATATATTTGCTACGCATGATTTGAACGTTCCGTGAGTATAGAGAAAACAGTGACGCGACTGAATCCAGCGAATTCCCGACCGGCTGTTTCAGGCGGAAATAAAGAGAATTTCGAGTCGTAAATTGTGTTCTGGGTAGTTTTCTCTTATAGGTCATGTTCGGGGAGCATAAATACCCTAAATACTACCATAAATACTACAAGTGCACATTTTGTACAGTAAAGGGACCTTGAGGGTCCCTTTATTGGACAAAAAGTGCACTTGAAAATACAAAAGTAGTAGATGTACTTGGGCCGACTTCAATTGTAGTGAGTCACTATATTTTCATTTAAAGTGTACGAAATATGGATACCTATACAAACTCCAGAAAGTTATTTCACACTTATTGCCTCGATAAACTACAAATTTCTTATTTGTGTCGGTTTGCATTGTTTTTAAGCCGGAAATGGGGATAGCACGGAAAAGGATTGGGACTTCACTAAGTATATAAAAATTAGTTAATAAATTTAAAGATTTTAAACTACAACTGTCAAATATACCTCACTTTGCACACACCATTTATTACTCAGCTACATTAGCGAAACAAGTCTAATGTTTATTTAAGGCGTTTTTTAACATTGATGAAGTACTTGTACAAAGAGATCTAAAGTCGAGTCCTATAAACACATTTATTTATTTACTGCCGCATCGAACAGGTCTTCGCCGACAAACTGATCAATACCGGTTTTTATGGTATCCGACAGGTGTTCCAGGGACTATGAACCCGTTCACACTGAAAGAATAAAAACACAGAAAATACAGGAGGGACAGACACACACAGTTCTTTCAACGAGCAACTACATTGAAATGATGCCCATTACACTATGATGAACCACCTTGGATACGGAGAAAATTAAGTGAAGATGAAAATACTAGAAGGTACTAGAAAAAGATAAAGAAAAAGGTAAAGATGGCGGAATTTAACTTCCTGAAAAGGAAGAAAAAGAAGAAGAAACGGGAGATGTTTTTTATGACAATTCCGGCGCTAGGAAATCCATCTCTAGGAATCAGACAAGACCGGTGTTTTCGTGGTCATGGATCAAGGAACCTATGGAGAGAAGGTCACGAATGCACTGGAAAAGAACTTTGATCAACTAAAGAAGAGGCCATCAGGACCTCTGCGCGCAGAGGCAAAAAGACTGGGCACTTTGATGAATCTGCCCACTCTCAAGAAAACGCTCGGTTCACCTGCAAAACAGTATTTTTCCGTATTTTTCACAGCCAAGACACATAAGGAAGGCGTGCCACTCAGAAGCATTGTATCTGAAAGAGGTTGCTGGCAGAAACCCCTTGGCCATATTCCTACAAAAACATCTCTCCACGGTGACGCTCCTCCAGCCCTTTAGGATTTCAAACTCCACAGATCTTATCTCGCACCTTACCTCCCTACACTCCACCACCCAGCCACTCTCCATGTTTTCTTTAGACATAGAAGAGCTTTACTACAGCCTAGACCCCCGGATTCTCTTGAATTCCGTGTCTGATGCGATCCATGAACATGGTCTCTGTAAGTTTCAAAATACCTCAGGGATCACAGTTAAGGATTTCAAAGATCTCCTTGCCTTATACCTTCCTTATGCCTTATACTATGTCTTTCCCGACCGCTCTCGTGAGCGCGTCGGGTATGGACCAACAAAGTCGGGAAATCTAGCTAAAAATACTTTACTCTGCATGGAACCAGAGCTTGGGCATGGGCAGTCATGCGGAACTCGCAGTGCGGTCTCTTCACCGTCAGGCCGGTCGTTCTTCTATGTCTCGCGCAGGGCTGCCTCGAGCTCGGGTCCCTCGTCGTCCTTCTCTTCCTTTTTGAAGAATGTAGACACTTCAGAGCATGGTGTCTTGGAAGGCTCTGGTGGTCCTACAGGGACGCACCGCCACATTACTCCCCCTCCAGTGAGGAGGCGAACGTTTCAATAGCAGCCTCACACAGTGGCCTGGGGAAATCGTGTGGGTGATGGGAGACGGCCGGTAGCGGCTTGTGCTTGAGGATCCGGAATGCCAAGGCGCGCTGGCCAGTATACATGGCGTCCAGAGCGTGTCCTCGTATGCGGCTGTTGAGTGCTCGAGGAGCAGGGGTGCGCACGATCGACAGGATGTTGAGGGCGTAAGTGATCTAGTGGGATCGGGGTTGTTGCTGACGGCGTTTTCGGTTGGGGAGTGAGGTTTGGTAGTGTAGTTGACGGAGCACTGTCCAGATGGGCTGGCTTCACGCGGTCCAATGCAACGACTTCCTGCCGTCCGCGGATGTCCAATGTCATTGTTTTGGTCCCTCGGCGCAGCACCTTGTACGGGCCGTCGTAGGGTGGTTGGAGCGGCTTCCGTACGGCGTCATGTCGCAAGAAGACATGGGTACCCGTCGCCAATTCATCACTCACGAAGGTAGACGGGCCACGGCTTAGTCGCGGTGCTGTGGCGCGGAGCTGTTTCATCGTCTCTCGGAGTCTGGTGGCGTAGTCCGCGGGGTCGGGACAGGCGTCAGCTGGTGGCGATGCAAAGAATTCTCCGGGGAGGCGAAGGGTGGTCCCGTAGACCAACTCGGCCGCGCTGCAGCCGACATCCGTCTTGAGCGACGTGCGGATGCCTAGCAGCACGAAGGGCAGCACCTCCACCCAGTCCTGTCGTTGATGGGCCTTTAGAGCGGCCTTCAACTGCCGATGTAACCGCTCCACCATGCCGTTACTCGCGGGGTGGTACGCTGTGGTTCGGATTCTTTTTGATCCCAGGAGCTTCATCAGTTCTGCGAAGAGATGAGACTCGAACTGTCTACCTCGGTCCGTGGTTATGGTTGACGGCGAGCCGAACCTCGAGATCCATTGCGCCACGAGCGCACGCGCCACAGTCTCCGCGGTGATGTCGGAAAGCGGTATCGCTTCCGGCCAGCGTGTAAACCGGTCGACACAAGTCAACAGGTAGGTTTGCCCCTGTGATGGCGGCAGCGGTCCGACGATATCTATGTGGATATTGTCGAACCGCGCGTCCG